CTAATATAGAATTTATTAGAACACAATTGCTGACGTTTCGGCGGTTTCGCCTTCTTCAGAGCCTGGAAAGGTTAAATTGAGATGTGATCTACTCAGCCAAACACTTTCATAACCCTAGCAGATAAAACTTGATAAATCGATTTGTATTCGCATAAGAAACAGCTTTATTCAAACACCTACCGTTTATTTGTTGTAAGTATTTAAGTTAGTTGGTGGATAGCCGCCGCACAGAGTAATACATGGTCGATAACTGTGTCTGTGTCAGGTCTTTGGATCAGCCTGAGGTATGGCGCCAGGTCACGCGTGATGACAAGACACTCCTCCTTGCGGTTCATTTTTGAATTTTTTTTAAATACTTACAACAAATAAACGGTAGGTGTTTGAATGAAGCTGTTTCTTATGCGAATGCAAATCGATTTGTCAAGTTTTGTCTGCTGGGGTTATGAAAGTGTTTGGCTGAGTAGATCACATCTCAATTTGACCTTTCCAGGCTCTGAAGGAGGAGAAACCGCCGAAACGTCAGCAATTGTGTTCTAACAAATTCTATATTAACAACCTCGTGTCTGCTTATTGATGAAAAACATTGAACTTCAATAATCCTTCACAACGAAGCAACACGCGGTGCATTTGAAGACCTTTGTGGATGACGTCAGATAGACTAAGTGAAAGTGTGAGAATCGGCACAATAGAAGTGATGGAGAGTCATGCAAGTGCAAAAGATGTAAATTTCTAAATATTTACACAGCCAGACACCACATATTGCGCGTATCCCAGCACTTCTTGCACTTGATTCTTTTCCTAAAACACCAGCAATGGTAGCCGTATTTGCGTTGTGGTTCGGGTGTTGCTCGAAAACTTTTGGCCTCCTTCATGAATGTCGATATCCTCTGGAATTTTTGGATAACCCTGCATGGGCATTCTTAGGACTAACTTTTGTGGATTGGAAGAAACCTTCCTGACACGTCTGGTAGCACCCAATTTCCCGATACCTGATGAATATGAGGTTGTTTAGTCCTGTGTGGGGTCAAACCAGGACTTCGTGTATTGGGTAGCATCTCTACCACAATATTATTCAAGCCGTAATGTTGCAAAGATTGTGATTGAAAACTCGTTTTATACGACTTACACTTTTAGCTCCTTATGATTATTACATAATCAGACCTGCATACTACACAGATCACATGGCAGCCAATACAACATCCCATGCTTCTGTAACTGAACTGATCTGTCACGAAATGGTAAGGATCCAGTTTAGTTAATGATCTCAAACACAAACAGCCTAAGATTAGGAACCTGCCCGGACTAGTTGGAATGACCAGCACAAACGTTGACGTGAATATCAGCCATTGGGTAGGCTTCAGGCTCTCGAAGAATCCTAGATCTAATCGTAAATTCCTAATTGATGAAGTAATGCCTGTTACTCCTGTAATTGGCTAAGACCTGCAGTCATGTTAGCCTTTGCATCGATCATTATGTTCTTCTGCTCTTTTAGTGTCATTCGTAACAAACTGGTTTTTAAGTTTCAACCAATACGTGGTTGAGAATAATTTAGCTTTTCAACTACAAAAAAACGTACACTAGCTCACTTAAAGGTTACTGATAGTAGCGTTAGGTAGAAAATTAGCTGAAAGAAACGCATAGTAAAGGCCTCAGCGGTGCAGTGTGTAATACATGATATCGCGGAAAGCGTAAACGTGGTTCGGTCCGGGACGGGGTCCAAGTTTTGAGAATATCTCAGCATCGTCGTGGTTGTATTTCACATCATACTCTGCAGCGAAAAATTATACTAGGCAGCAAATAAAAGGTTAACATTTAAATATCACTATTAAGAATTTCCATTATTCATTTTATTTTATACGACCCCACACTTCACACCTACTGTGCGGATCTTAGTACTTCTCACATTGGATTCTTTTCCTCGCATCCATCGTGCACGAAGGTCTTCCAACTTTTACGTGTGGTTTCGGTTCCTACTTGAGGACCTTGACCCTGACCTGAACGTCGCAGAAGTGGTCCAGTCGATTCTCCACGGTCCTTTTTTTCTCGGACAAGTCCGGTATCAATTTCACGACCCCGGTAGGGACGAGAGGCTTGTTGTTCCTAGGGCGAAACCGAACCACTACCGTGCTAATGATGACTATTATTTGAAATAAGAACCGTTAGGACGTAAGATCTTCGCGAAGAAGGTACAAGTCCTCTTTTTTCATCTCGTTAAAATTCTAACTTCTCGGATTTCACAAACCGTTTCTTCCTCTTTTCCGTTTTTTACTTGAATCTTTTGTTTCGAACAACGAAACATCTAGCAGCTGTTACCAGAATAGTTACTATTCTTTCATCTTATGGTATGTTCCTACAGTAACCACATTCGCTGCTCATATCGCTTTGCAATGTTGCAGTGTGCAAATGTTTTCACTTCATTCTGAGAAACTTTGCTTGTCATAAACAGCCCTGTTATGCAAAGTTTTTAGTGCAATTGGAGCTCGTGCTCTGTTATTACTGTCCGAACTCATCACGCGTACAATAACACGAAGGGCAAGAAAATGTTTACGAGAAATGGCTTCCTCCATCCGATCTGGTCATGAGGGATTAAAGCCTGTACGCGTACAATAACACGAAGGAAAAAGGATGTTTACGAGAGCCATCTTCCACCTTCTGATCGATCTAGTCATGATGGATTTGGAAACGGTAGTCGACGAATGTTTTTGGTAGAGGTCCTGGACCTGTGCCAAAACACCGCCTCTCCTAGATGTTTAAATAGCCGGGCTAGTTGCTATCCTATTCGTCTCGATAGGGACGTTATGGTGTGTACGTGTGTTGGACACCATGCAGGTAAGCACGGTTAGTTCATGTCGTATGTGCTCGCTATGGTTCATTAACCCCATGGTACTGTCATGTACTTTTGAACATATTAATTCCATTGTACGTTCATTATACGTTATTGGTACTACAAACGTGCAAAACCTGCTGTGTTACGGTGGGTTACCCCAACCGTATCGCTGTTGTAAACCCAGGTGTTACGGCCTCACATAGATCCCTTAATGTGCTTACTTCTTGTATCACCACTAATGCACGCTATATGCACACTTCACCCTCACTTATTCACTATGTTACCACTTTGCCGCTTGTGTTGTTCCAATATTGTCATGTCATTATTCTTCCATTATTATTCTTATAAACGGTTCACTTAAACAGGTTTAAGCTATTGCTCTGCGACAACAACGAGAAACTCCTGCGTGGCAGCGTCTAACGAAGTCGAGCATTTTACTTAGTACTAGAGATTACTGGGTACCGAGAAATGACTCGGCCTATTTTTCCACTAGCAACTGCTGTAAAACAGCTGAACTAGCGGATTTGTTCTCCGCATAAAATGATGGATTCCATTAACGCCACCGATTTTGGCTGTTCTCGCTGTCCGTTTTCGATGTTTTAAAAGTTAGAGCTTTGAATTTTTAGTGATAAACTGGACGTTACACGACTTTGCAACTTTTGGTAGACATATGTGTTACATACTTAGGGAGTGAGGTATGTACCATGTATATGTACTTAGGGAGATATATACTACGTATACATACTTAGGAGATGGAGATATATATCATGTACATATGTGTAGAGAGAGAGGGGCGTAGAGGTCAAAGACTCCTATGCATGATTGTTGACTTCTAACTGCTCAAGTACTCAAGTTATCAAGAAGTTATCAGCATTGATTGGAAAACGCGCTCTGTTGTGCTTACGTTAAAGGGACATCAAATAGTTGGAGGAGCATAATATCTTCTAGGATTAATAGTTAAAAGAGCTTGAAAGAGCTTTTCAGCCATTTAACAGCTTTAATTACTCATATTTGAGCTAAAATGTAATACATAGTAACCTCTAAAGCATAAATGGTTCGGATTTATAGCTGGATTCAACTAATCCAAGACTTGATTTTAAGTTGACCAACTCTATTTCTGCTTTTCCAAGTTTTTGTACTTCATATCAGTCTTTTACCACTTTCCCATAATACCACTATCACTCCATACATTACATACACGTATAGTTTGCACATGGATGTGCATCAATGCTTGTACGCGCTTTATTGTTTGGTTTTTTCAGTGTTCCGATATCTCGTTGCTGTGAAAGCTGAGCGGTGATGATGTAGGTTTCGTGCAATTCATTTTTTTTCTTTATCGTTGGTTTTTCTTTCTAAATGTCCCGAAGTACAGTCTTCACGCTTGCAAGCGCTAGCAGATAACGGTCGAATTGCAGCGATTTAAATTCATTTGGTGGGAAAATAGTGCCGGCTTTCAAGTTTAGCCCAACATATGTCTGTTCATAGAGAACCTTAGTGAATGCAATAGAAGTTATTGTAAGCTGTAAATTTTTTTATTCCATACTTCCGATTTTTTTTTATTTTGCTACAGATCGGTAGATTGCTTGTCTTTACTTTCTCACTAGTAAACTTGGTAAGTTCTCCTATTCTACATCCTTAATAGGAAGAGTACGTGTAGACCTTATTACTAGGAGTTTACCTTTTTTGGTTAAAGGATAAACGAAGAGTAAATTTCCCAGCCTTGGTCACTTTCTGAGGGATGCGCCATGCATTAGACCTTATTAAGCATCGTTAGAGGTGACTAGATGCAGATCTGGCAAATATATACAGTAACACGCGGTGCCCTATCGATGTACGAAACTTGTGCTGCTATCCTCTTAGAGAAATCTGGCACCAATTTACCGACCGCGGATGGATGAGGAGTGCTTGGTGAGCCTGGGGCTCGGAGATCGGTCCCAGTGTATTGCAGGACACCTCCGACCGGTGCCCTACACGCGGTCCATTAATGCAGTAAAACCTGTCTGACGGAGTAAGATTGTGCCCTGCCTCTGTTTTGTTAACGTCATTAAGTCGTCTCCATTGTTTAAACCTGGCCAGGTGACATCCAACCTGCATCCTTTATTTGATCCGTAAGGCTTTCGTTTTCTAAGAAAATACTTTCAGGAACGCCAGTGCATACCGGCTTACAGATGATATCGCCGAGCCAAGTTTCAATATGCGCCTTATTGAAGCTGTTAAACATAGCAGGTGTTTGTACGATTCAACAGATCGGCAATACAGAAGCACAGAATACAAGATAAAGGTCCGTGTTTCTTTCATTGAGAACCCAAGATGAAATTTATATGAAAAGTTTCTCGAATCGAGGCTTTAATGTTTGAAGGATAATGTTTCGTAGCGATATCGTGTTAACCCTTCATTGGAAGAAAATCACATATTGATTATCCACACCAAGGTTGAATGGAAGTAGGTTTACAGAAATAAGATAAAGGTCGTTCCCCACTGGACCCTACTACCGGATTGTAGTACTAGTAGGTTTCTTTTTGTCATTCAAGGTTTGGAATCGTCTGGTCCAAGTTCTGCAGTTTGATGGTGATGCACGGACACTGTACGCACGTTGGAAGCAACTTCGAGACAAGTGTGGCCATCATATTTGTTATTCCTCTCTTGTCTTTTCTAAGTTGAAAGCTGTAAATCTGTGAGCCTTTTTCTTACAGATATGGGAAGGAGAAGCGAAAGGTGAAGTATCAAGGAGACCAATCAACATGGCAGTATTTCAAACATCTTTCTTTCCTTGATCCACATATGATCGATAGAACGGCAATTGAATCTCCAGCAAGAAAGGAACATCCTGATGTGGTATGGATAATTACTGTTTTTTGTTTAATACAAGTAATACCGTTAAGTAAGTTAGCAAGTGATTTTAGCAAATAACCGTGACGGACCCATCCTTTGGAACCAATCTCATCGAAGAAGTTCGAGGGCACCCGTGTCTGTTCGATATTCGCGATCCCAAGTATAGGCACTCAGAATGCCGAAATCAAGCATGGAATAGTGTCATTGCGCATTTGAATTATCCAGGTAACGTAAGGTTTATGTGTTTGTGATTTGCCTTCCAACGGTTTACCGCCTTATCGTGGCTACGAGGTGTTTCTGAGCGTCGGACTGCGATGTACAGCGGGAGGATTCATTCCTCCAGCGGGATTTCCCAGACTGAGGACTCCAGCGTTTTCCTCAGGTTGCCCAGGTAAAAGTAAACCAATACCAGGATCCATCACCGTCCTAGTACCGAACTGGTCGCATGGTGGCGAGTCCCCTTTTGATACCAAGGGTGGCGACTGAACGGAGTTGTGACGACCTGAGGAAGGCTTCGGATAGGCTGACCACGAGGCTCCAGGAAACTACATTGGCTAAATCGGCAAATCACCGGAGATTGGAAATTGTCCTGAGGCCCGCATAACCAGTGAAAACAGGTCATCTAAGTACCAAGTGTGTATGATTCAGTTGTTCCTCCGAATCAGGATTTATGCAATTCGCTTGTTTCTTATATTGCTGTGATATTGGTTTAGAAATACTACACTTCTCGACTTTAGGTGATGTCAATTCAATATATAAGCAGTGGAAGAAGATTCGCGATCGTTATGTACGTGAGAAAAGACGGTTACGTATGCAGAGGGACAATGGCGTCCACGATGACAGTACATGGGATCTTTATCCAGCCATGTCCTGGATCGACCCTTTCTTAGATGAGCGAGCCCAGTTGGTTTCCAATATGTCTCATTTACTCGTTCCCTAGTTTCTGTCAATCTTCATTAGATTTAGGCTTTTAAGACATGTGAAAAGGAAACATGATGAAGAGTTGTCCGATTATGGTGAACTGGAGGACATGGTCAGATCTGGGTATGCCTTAATTTTCTGAAAGGCCAAAATTGTTGTTTATATAATGGAGTAGTATGTAGTCTCGCTTCATTCATGTACTTTGCAGTTTTTTTCAGATCTGGCCTAGGATACATGGTTGCGGAAAAAAGTAGAAGCGAAGGTCTGTTTTTATTGTTTTCTCACGAAATAGTTTTTTATTCATCTATGAAGTCTGGCTTGTACTAGTGAGTATGCCAGTGCTTATATGCGACATGTCATTGGGGCCACAACCCTGTTCGATTCCATAGCGTTCAGTTAGCTTTCCATAGATCATAGTTGTTATATCTAAGCGATATTAGTTCAACGGGAAATAGTTAGTTATCTTGGTTATTTCGAACTCTAGACAGTTCTAAAAGTTTAGTTTTAGTTACGGATGGGTTACTAATCGTAACGATAGTTTGCCAAGGGAATTTGATTCTAGCGGCTGTCTAGGTGTTCAGTGGAAGTGAATACCACTAGAGAAAAAGAAGTCGTGGTCGATCCCCAATAATAAGGATGGATTGAAGTATTGTAAGCTGTGCTTTGTCTCATGTGATATACCTGAGATACTGCTGCTTCCTACGGTAACGAGTCTTCGACTTGACATGGTCAAAGTCTGGGATTGTTGGCGTCTTAGTTAGCGTACCCTTCCACGGTAGTACACTACGCTGTATTTTCAGCTTACCAAACCAGTATTTGGTTTGTTTTGAAACTTAGTTCGTCAGCACCACAAGGATGCCAGGCTTTGAAGTTGCAGCTGTAGTGTTAAAAAATTTTCTGTAGGAAATCGCTGTTATTTCTCCATACGAAATCGCGATTTTTGAAATAGTTCTGGAATGTCATAATGCTTGGGTATTCCTCTTTACCCTATCTTTATCCAATTAATTCCAAATTGTGAATATCTCTGCGCACACATTATGCAATGTGGGTTTGGGCGTCGAACGTGCTTAGTGCATACGGCGGTCGTATAGGAAACCGCTTTCGCAAGAATTATTTTCGCAAACTGAGTTAGTTACTTACTTGATACATGAAAGGCTCGTCCTCACTGGTGCGGGCCCCAGCATAATCTCCATATTTCGGGGATTGCTGGCTAGGCCATTATGGTTCCCTGGGATCCCCAGATTAGCCTGGCGAAGTGCCGCCCCAGCCCTTCATCACCACGGGCAGTCGCAGCCCTTGTGGATCAGAGGGAGATTTGCCACCATGGGACTCTGATAGCAGGACAGTGGTGGACCCTGGTATTGATTTACTTTTAGCTAGGTTTCCTGATGGAAATGCCGGGTTCCTCAGCTTGAGAGCCCTGCCAGGGAGGTGAATCCCCCGCTGTACATCGCAGTCCAACACCCAGGAGCATCTCCCAGCCACGATGAGGAGGTAAACCGTTGGGAGGTTAGTTAGCGATGATTATGACCCTATAAGTGATCTACAGCTGGTCTATTAATTTACTATAGTTGGCCTATAAATATACACTTATAAATGTGTAATGTAGAAAGTGCATATTTCTCTTCAGTTATTTTGCTATTTAGCTGGTGCTGACGTGCTGCTCGATGGTGATAGTGCTTTCGCTGCTTCGGCCGTGTCAGACCTACGTACACTCCCTGAGCACGCACGAGCATTGGCTAAAGTAGGGCTAAGATGACTTACACAGTGTTACACATCTTACTAAATTTGGCAATTTAGGCGCAAATAGAAGCGATATTCGACTCTGGAAGGATGAACGTACAAACCGATTTCTAACTTACCTTCAAGCATTTTCAGAACCTGCATTACTTTGTTATGGTGTCGTTTTGTTGCCAATCGAAAAGTTCTAGCCTATTGCAACATATAGGGATATTTACTTTCATATGCTGGGAACCTGTGTTCCGATATTTGAAGGTTTCTTTTGCATTATTTATTATTGAGGCAGATCTCTTCTGAATGAATATGTGTACAGTGATGTATTCATATTAACTTATGAAAAGTCGAATTTGCTATTCAATATTTGTACACTTCAGTCCTCTAACTTTTTAATTGTGATAGAATTTCTGATTTACCAAACATACCATCATATTCTTATGAATATTATTGCTTTGGAATAGGATAGATTTGGTTATCTGGACTGTTATTCTCCTTCTCAGTTTGTGGAAGTTTAAGAAAGGTGGGAACTAGGGATTTAAGACGTTTCCAAATTCCAAACGATGCATTGCTCCGTGGCCGAAGTGCGCTAGTTGGAACGTAGGGGCGATTTCTGGATTTATCATATTGAGGATAATGCATGCAGTTGTTCTCAGATTGTCACAAATGCCTGGTACAACTAATCGACTGCTATGGATTGACTGCGAAATGACGGGTCTGGACCATGAAAGGCAGACACTTGTTGAGATCGCAGTGATATTAACTGATGAGGATCTGAATGTACGTTATTTACGTTTGTTCGTTTTTTATATGGATGTTTTGGTTGATTTTATTGTAGGTTGTTGCAGAAGGCCCCAACATAGTGATAAACCAACCTGAAAAAGTACTGAACAATATGGAAGGTTGGCCGCGCAGAACTTTCACAAAAAATGGACTTCTAAATAGGATCCGTGAGAGCACGATATGCATGGAACAAGCAGAAAACATGGGAAGTTCTCGCTTTTCTGTTTTCTTTGTTTTGGATTATTTTACATCAGTATGCTGTGTACATCTGACTCCATTTGTCTCCTTGCACATTTGATGGTTAGGTGGTGTTCTTTTTCCTATCTTGGGGATAAAGGATAGAGCTCTCGACGTTAACCATTCCCTAAGAAGTGCGCCATGCGCTCGACTTCATTAAGTATCGTTGGAGGTGATTGACTGCATATCTGGAATCGGTACCGAACTTGTCAGGAGAAAAATCACTGCAAATCGAGTGAGAGCGCTCCAGTTGCAATTCAAATGGGAGAGCCACAGCCTGGCTACCTCAGGAGTCCAGTAAGCAGTCCAATTGGGAACGCTCCAGTCCGGCTATCTCAGGACTCGGAGAATCGATTCGACCAGCGTCCTGCGACATTCAAGATGAGATGAAAGTCCGCAAACGTTAGCCGAACGCACACTTAGAAGTTCGGAGCCCTTCGTGGATGACAAGCGCGTGAAAACGGATCAAATGTGGGGAAGTGCTGGGATCCGCACTTGAGGCATGAAGACAGACGGGTCACATGAAATAAAAATGGAAACAAGTACCACTTTGTGTCGTAACAGTTGGTATTGTACAATGTGTTAACATACTAGCGGCCATCCCAACGGTTTACCTACCGCCGCATCGTGGTTGGGACGTGTTTCTGGGCGTCGAGAAAGGATCCATCCCCTTGGCAGGGTCTCCCAAGCGGAGGAGTCTAGCGTTTCCATTAGGAAGCCCAGCTAAGAGTAAATCAATACCAGAATGTGCCACCGACCTGGTATCGAGATGGTCGCATGGTGGCAGATCTCCCGCTGATCCACAAAAACTGCAACAGTCTGTGGTGGTGACGACCTGTGGCAGACTTTGGCCAGGCTGTTCTCGGGATCCCAAGAATCATAATAACTAAGCTAGCAAAACTCGAAAGAATGGAAATTATGCTGGATCCCGCACAACCAGTGAGGACGGGCCGTGCGAGTGTCCAAGTAGTCTTGCTGCAAAACGATTTCTTACCGACACACTCCTGTTAGTACAAAGGCACTGTACGCAACTATTTATTACTTATCTATCTACGATTTCTAGAGCGCCATTGTTGCATTATTTTCCTGTTCAGATATTAGACTTTCTTAGAAGGGAATCAGTGAATAAAACATGTCCATTGGCAGGGAACAGCGTACATTTTGACCGGAGGTGAAACTGTTTGTTAAATCTTCATCTCCTTCATAACACTTTATGTTGAATTTATAGATTCATCATGAAGTATATGCCACTTCTTGAGAAGCAGTTAAATTATCGCATTGTAGACGTGTCCACTATTGAAGAGGTAACATTGCATTTATCAGCTACGACCACTAGCAAGTTCCAAGTGGTATTCCTAACTACTTCAACTGGAAATAAATTTCCAGCTGGCAGCAAGATGGTATCCGAATGAATTAAAAAGAGCACCATTCAAGAAAGGAACCCATAGGGCTTTGGACGATATTCGAGAAAGTATTGAGGAATTGCGCTACTACCGCTCTTCAATCTTCCAACGTCCTGGCCACTAGTGATGACATTATCACTTATTGATGGACAATGTCACCAGTCAAGTGTAAATTTTAACTTTTTTCCTTTGCATTTTACGGGGCTACATGGTTAAGTCAAGCGTAGATGATTTCTTACATTTAGTGAATATGTTATCTGAATTAATAAAGCAGTCTGTTGTTGCGAAATCTAAATTGAATAGAGAGGAACAAATCGTTTACTTTAATAACAAGTATAAATAGAGGAGGACAGGGAAGTTGAACCCAACTGTTTACTGCTTCTGACCAGCGGTTGTTGACATGCTTTCCAGATCTGATCCACCCAATCCTTAATATCTTCATGCATAAGCCAATGTTCCCGATCTCTGACCATCTTTATACATGATTCTCTGGATTTTTTCTGTCAGCTGTGTAATTGAACGATGTCAACTACTGTCCCAGCATGCATTCATACCCCCCATTTTTCTGATCCACTGAATCATCGATCCTCTCTCTTATAGTAGCTCGCCTAAGTCGTTCACCATATTGACTTGTAAACGGTGTAGCCATGTTCACGAGGTACACGTTAAAGAAACGTCGTGGGTTCTACTTACTGCGCGCTTCGTTTTTCATGAACACCGTTCCTTTTATTTTCAACTCTCAGTTCTGCCTAATTATTACCTACAAGAGAAATCCTGAACGTATTTCTGGGGAATCTGCATGTTACATAAGCATGAATCGCATAGCACTATCGGTCCATCCATTGAGAGGACCATACTTGTAAGAGGGAGTTTCACCTTCCGAGTTACATCAACGATCAACGATCAGGACGCTGCTGTGTGTGGAAAGATGTTGACTATAAGGTTAACTGATCATGTGGACGTCTTGGCATGTCAGCTGAGAAGAGCCACTGGCGACGAATACGATGGAGGGTCAATCGCACAGCAGGCAGGAAACTCGGCCATTGTCAGGATTCTTGGTCCCAGAACAAAAAAAATGAATTCTAAAAGAATTCTGAAATGGCCACAGTTTAAAACCTAGTTTTGCTGAAATAAATATGTTTCAGTAGTTCGACAGATCGTAAATGGTTCCCAAACAACCTAGTCAGTATGACGGATTAGCCGAATGCAAATAGGTGGAACGGGATTTGGAAGCACATACTCCCAACATCAAGTGATATAATTTGTTCCACAGTAATGCCAACGTATTACTAGTGGTAGGCCTTAACATCTGATTCATTCTTTATTAAAAGAATAGTAGCAATATTGGTTTGAACTACAAACTCCAAGAAAAATATGTTTGGATAACATACCCATCACTGAGGAAATAATGTAATGTACAAGATAGAAATTAGACGCTAGCAGACAATTACTAGCGAGATCACTGGAAGCCAGAGTGATAAGTCAGAAATAGGAAAGCGTGTTGAGTCCACGTCTGAAGTAGAACGGCACGGTTTTAAAATTATGTGCATGTGTGAAGCATGCAAGCCAAATAACAACATAACAGGGAATATGTGCCGTCAAAAAACGTGTTAATGAGGGAGTACATTTGTATTGCACATGAATCTACGACTACAATGGAACTGATATTTTCAAATAAACAGGCAATTTTGGTACGGATAGGGCACTTCTGGGACAAATTAGTGAGATCTTTTGCACTTCTGCACTAGATCTTCAGTTGGTGTTATCAATGGACATACAGTCATGACGATCTTGGATGTTAACACGACTGGAATTAGATTAAAGCTTCGATATTGTTCGAGGATTGAAGATTCCTTTCCATATGCCAAAACTGTAGAAGATAAGGGGGGCGGGACACGTAATGGCTACGAGCAATGAGTATGCATCGTGAATGACTGGATCCTTCTGGATGTCAAACGTACAGCAAGAAGACTACCGACCGAACGGTCAGTTCATCATGAAGACCTTAGAAGAACGGTGTGATGCTCAATCGTTCCCTGAATCGAGCAGAACCCACGTAGATACTCTTGCATCCGACGGAGCAATGAAAGGTTTACTAGCGCACTCTCGACTCACTCGACAATCAGCGGTTGATTATTACCTGGATTCTTTTATAAACCATTGCTGTTCTTACTCGTACGGCCGTCGATCCACTCCCCTCGCTTGATGTAAATGTGACACATGATCACATGTGTAATGATGACTGGTGTTTTCCAAGTTGATGGTGAAGGCTGGTGATATTTTTTTTTAATCGGTATATCAAAATATACTTGGCATAGTTGACAACGCTAAGTTTTGGTTGAAGTAATTATAACACGTTCCTATATCATCTGCAGAGAGTATTGCACTGGACTGCAATGCCTGTGGAATCAAAGCCTCAAAAACTATCCTATGAACCAAATCAAAGGCGTACTTCAGACCAATATATGTGGAGGATAATTCATTGACACGAGGAAGGATGCTTGTGCGAACTCGTCTACAGCTAACCATTGCTTCGGTTTCAAGGAATTATCATCAGACTTGTCTGTGGAGAACTTCCTCGAATTCACGAAGGATAACGAATGCGTTTGGTGGAAATTTAGGAATAGCTTAGCACAGCCATCAAAAGATTGTAGAATGACTCTAATCAACCAGTTTTCAGTGGCATTCACAAAAGAGAAGGGCAATGTTGTTAAGCAGAAGATGAACGAACCTGCGTGGAAATCCGAAGATCTTCGTGGACGATGGATAAGAAGGAAGGAATCGAATACAAAAACTGTTGTTATCCAGTACGTTAGTTGGGTTCTATAGTAAAGCATCAAAGGAATGAACAAGAAAATATGAGAAGGACAAATATTAGATGTTTAACGATCCATTGTTGCCGTATTTATAAGTGGTAAGCTAATTGGTTGAACCTTAAACTATAAAGTATGTCCGATATATGTGATCTTTGGATCTTACTAAAAGAACAATTGTGGAAACAAATTAGAAAACGAAAGAAAAAACCGGAAAAAGGATGGATTAAAAGTTGGTGCACCATAAATTGCTCGTTTATAGGTTTCGAAAAAAACGATTTCACTCTGCAGGTCTTGTAGGTGGAGCCTTGACGGAGGCTCCAAGACCGCTAAGGAAAAGTGATGTGATGTTGGTTATTGGTGACTTCCGCACGTGATGTAATATTGGCTACTGGTGACTTCCTGCTCGATGGTGATAGCGTTCTCGCTGCATCGGCCATGTCAGACTTAATGCGCACTTCTTGAGCACGCACGAGCATTAGCTAAAGTAAGGCTATCGTGACTTATACGGTGTTAAAGTTTGAGGACATGTTACTAAATTTGGCAACTTAAGGCACAAGCAGAAGCGATATTCGACTCTTATCTCGAACGATGAACGTGCAAACCGATTTCTAGCTTGTCTTCGATCACTTCAAGAAGCCGCAGTGTTTTGTTATGGTGTCGCTTTGTTGCCATCTAGAAAACTTACCTGTTGGAACAATTCATTTGTAAGAGTATTTGCTTCCATTTGTGAGAAACCTCTGTTCTGTTTTTGAAGGTTTGTTTTGTATTATTATTAAAGCAGATCTCTTCTAAATAAATATGTGTGGAGCGACGTTTTCACGTGAACATACGAAGAGTCGAATTTACTGTTCAATATTTCTACACTTCAACCCTCTCACGTACTACTTGTGGTAGAATTTCTGATTTTCCAAATATGCCGTCGTATTTCCAAATGTTTCCTTCTCGGTTTGGGGAAATTCAAGAAATGTAAGAAGTATTGAACTAGGGATTTAAGACGTTCTCAAATTTCAAGCAATGCATTGCTCCGTGGCCGAAGTGTGCTAGTCGAAACGTAGGGACCATTTTTGGATTCATCACACTGAAGATAATGCTAGCAATTGTCCGCAGGATGTCACAAATGACAAGTAAAGCGGGACAACTTGTATGGATTGACTGCGAAATGACGGGTCTGGACCATGAAAGGCAGACACTTGTTGAGATCGCAGTGATATTAACGGATAAGGATTTGAATGTACGTTAGTTATAATTGCTCCTACCGATTTTCTATTAACCTCGGCATGGATCATACAATTCTTTATATTGTTGTTGGTGAAACACTAGGTTGTGTTACTCTTTATTGCGATGAAGCTGACGTTTCTGCTGATTGCTCCTTCCTAAGAGCCAGAGAAGGTCAAGGCGAAAGCAGTCTACACAACTAAACATCTCCATAGCCAAAAAGAGAAAGGAACTCTTGGATTAGCATTTTCTCTGTTAGGTTATGGAGTTCTTGCTGCTTGCTGAAATGCCGGAATGCTTTCGACTTGACTTTCCAGGCTTTGAGGAGGACGAAATCTGCGGAGACGTCAACTTTAACAGAATAAATGATAGAACAATACCTCGTGTTTGCTCAACAAGAATACGAAGAATTAATTATAATGTTTTCAATGGTCTTTTGCATGCATTAGAGCTGAACGAATTCTATTACAGGTGATTGCTGAAGGTCCCGACATAGTGATAAATCAATCTGAAGAAGTGCTGAACAATATGGAAGATTGGCCGCGCAGAACTTTCACACAAAGTGGACTTCTAAATAGGATCCGTGAGAGCAAAATATCCATGGAACAAGCAGAAGACATGGATAGTTCTCGCTTTTATGTTTTCGTTGCTTTGGATTATTTTTTATCACTACGCTGTGTGCACTCTCACTCTATTTGTGTCCTTGCATGTTTGATCGTTATGAGGTAATGACAAAAGTTCTTTTTTCTTCCGTTACTGTCTGTTCAGTAGGAAGTTGGTATTGTAGAGGTGTTATCGTACATACGTGGGTGGGCATTTGTGAGACGGGATAACAGCAAATTTTATACGATTCTGTTCTAGATAACAATGAAGAACTATATAGTCTAGCGGTAGGACATTAGTGCTTCACCGACATAACTCCTGTTAGTATAATGGCAGCATATGCAACTTTTTATTACTTGTCTGTTTATTATTTGTGTTCCATTCATGTGCTCCCAACGGTTCACCGCCTCATCGGGTATTGGGCTGCGATATACAGCGTGGAGGTTCATCCTCCAGGCCGAGTCTCCCATGCTGATAAGTCCGACGTTTCCGCTAGGAAGTCTATTGTGGTGGTGAAGATTCGAGGTAGACTTTGGCCGGGTTGACCTCGTGACTACAGGGAAACACTGGTTAGACCAGAAAAACCCCGAAAAATGAGGAATATGCTGAGACTTGCACAATCATCGAGGACCAGCCATCAAAGTATCTAAGTAAGATGTAATGACTTGCATGAGTAAAACTTGAATACTTAGACGGCCTGTCTTCACTGGTTGTGCGGCTCCGAGCATAATCATCATTTTTTTTAAAGTTTTGCTGGTTTAGCCACTGTGGTTCTCTGGAGTGCCGTGGCCAACCAGGCCAACGTCTGCTCCGGGTCGTCACGACCATAGACAGTCGCCGCCTTTGTGGATTAGGGGACGATTTGCCACCATGAAACTAGTTTGGTACCAAGACGGTGGTGGATCATGGTACTGGTTTACTTTCAGCTGGTCTTCCTCACGAAAACACCGGACTTCCTCTCAGCTTAGGAAGATCTTGCCAAGGTATGAATCCTCCGCTGTACATCGCAGCCCGACACCCAAGAACACCGCCCAGTCACCATGAGGCGGTGAACCGTTGGGAGAAGTCACTATTATCATCATTGTATTATTTTGTTTTTCAGATACTAGACTTTCTCGAAAGTAAGACAGTGAAGAAAACATGTCCATTAGCAGGGAACAGCGTACATCTTGATCGAAGGTGAGAGACTATTTGTTAAACCTTGTCTCCTTAATGCTATCAAAGAGCGCGTGTAGCGCAGTGATATGAGGCGCCTTTCAATACACATGGGATCGACCTCCACGCCCATGGCTCACTAAACCTTCCATCTCTCAGGGATCGGCAAATTGCTACCAGACTCTGGAAGGATAGCATCACTGGCTCGGTGGTACACCGATAGGCCACCGCGAATTCTTGTTAAGGCCAGATAAGCATTCATTCGCCCACAACGATGTTTAATGAAGTCATGCATGGTGCATCCCACAGGGTTTGATCAACGCCGAGAGCCTTATCCTTTTATCGTTTTTAGTACCGTCTCATGTTTCGAATTTATAGATTCATATCGAAGTATATGCCACGTCTTGACGACCACCTGCATTACCGCATTGTAGACGTTTCCACCATTAAAGAGGTAACATTGCGACGACCACTGTCCAAGTCCAAGTGGGTAACTTCAACTGGGAATAAATTTCAGCTAGCAGCAAGATGGTATCCGAATGAATTCAAAAAAGCACCTCTCAAGAAGCGAACTCATAGGGCTTTGGACGATATTCGAGAAAGTATTGAAGAGTTACGCTACTACCGCTCTTCAATCTTTCAGCGTTAGGTTGGCATCTCATAATCCATTGATCTCATATCTTGTGTCTTGGCGCTGCCTTTTTTATTCTCACTGTTGGTGATGATGTTGTACCTCATTGATAATCTCACCAGTCACGTTTAATTTTTTGCCACACTTGATCAATACATTATGTGAATTGATAATGCAGTCAACCTGTCGCGAAATCTAGATTGAATTGTGCGAAATAAATAGTTTATTTTGATAAGAAATGTAAATAAAGTGAAGGGAGGTGGAGAAGTTCTTAGAAGACGATGAAATTCGCTTTTAGGAATTATTTCCTACGCTGTGAATAGTGTTTTGGAGTGGTTAATCGATCCATTTGGACATTGTCTGTTCTTTATGCTTCAGTAGATGACTTCAGTAGACTAACACTATGGAGTTTCCGTAGCCCTCCCAACCTCCCTCCCTCCAACTGCTAGAAGCGGACTGCACATTACGTGCTTGCGAATTAGGACAGCACTTTCTAAAACTCGTTGGTGGCGTGCTGTCTTCAAAGGTGTGTTATATGTAGCACTTATCTTTTTCTTTTAAATTGATCGAGTCGACTAGATCCCAGTCTTCCCATATTTCTCATTCAAATTGAAGTCTATTTGGCTAGTGGCCTTCACGTCCTGTCAAACGCAATTGCTTACTGTTTCTGACCAGCGGTTATTCAGATGCTTCACATATCTGGTTCACCTAATCCTTAACATCTCGCACAGGCCAACAATGCTGACCTCTGAGCATCCTTATAGGCGAATCTTTAGATTTTCTCATGTATCCATGTTTACGAAAGTAGACGTTAAAGGAGGATCCTGGATTCATTCTTTACTGCTCGTGGAGTCGGCATCCACACGGACTCCGTTTTCCATGAATGCCGTCTCTTTTACTTTGAACAGAACATTTTTTTATAACATTTTCTACTCAAGCAAATCTCGTCATACATTCTGCTTATTTATGACCAACAAGAGAGATTCTAAACGTATTTCTCGGAATACAAGAGAAATTCTGAACGTGTTTCTCGGGAGTCTGGATGTAGCAAAAGTATGGATCACGTAGCACTATCGATCGCGGACTCATTGAGCGGACTACCGTACCATGCATATGAGAGGGAATCTCATGTGCCGAGTTACGTCGACGACCAACGATTAGGACGCTGCTGTGTGTGTGGAAAGACGCTGACAATCAGCTTAGTATTGTCACGTTTTATTATATGCCTATTGTTTTTTCATGGCAGGGTATGATGTGAAGTATCTCTTCAGCTTAACAGAGTTCAGCGCCGATTTGTGATCCTCAAATCAACCGCTTTGACAAATGATTGGTGATAGCACCTATAAAACACGGCTGAGAGAACGGCAAAGCGAAGGATCCCCATGGTGTGGTAGTGAACACGTTAGTCCCCAGAAAGGGTAGTGGCGGGGTAGCGGGTACAATCCCCACCGTAAACAGCGTTTTGCAAATATCTCAGCATCATTGTGGTTATATTTCAAATCAGCACGATAGTTGATCACTTGGACATCTTTACATTTGATCCATCTTAATTATTAACATCTAGGAAAAGCCATTAACGACGAATATCACGGAGGGTCAATCGCACAGCAAGAAGCTCAGTCGACCATGGTCAGGATTTTTCACGGTGGTCCCAGGAAGAAAATATGGTACTTGCTTCGCCCGTACAGAAAGGACGGAACCCACCGGTCTACTCGTAAACTACAGGGACAATCGAAAACTTTGCTGGCGCCCATTCGTGTGATTCGACCATCATAAAGAAAACAGATAAGGAAGACTATACCCCAGTGAACATATTCACGAAATATCACATCATCCAAGTACTAAACGCAGCTTAACAACCACCGCCTGAGACGATCTCCAATAATCATAGCACTTGTGAAAATATCTTCAGAAGTTTCATGAGTTCCAGAACACTGGGAATCTCAATGTGATGGAACACTGAACTTGGATCTCGTTGTCATAAATGTTCTCCATACTGGTTATGGTTTAAGTAAAGTCCTGCTGAAATATCTGTTTCAGTAGTTCGACAGGTCGAAACTAGTTCCCAAACAATTTAGCCAATATGACGGATTAACTGAGTGCAACTGGGTCGAATAGGGTTTGGAAACACCAGCTCTCAACATCGAGTAATAAAATTTGTTCCACAGTAATGCCTACGTATTACTAGTGGTAGGCCTTAATATCTGACTCGTTTATTAAAACAGTAATAGCAATATTTGTTTGTATCACAAACTCCAAGTAAAATATGTATTTCGCTCACATACCCATCACTGAGAAAGTAACATAATGTACAAAATAAAAATCAGACGCTAGGCGAAAAGAAAAGTGAGTCCCGAAATTTCTAACAAAACCATTGGAAGCCAAAATGATAAGGAGAAAAAATGAAAGCGCGTCGAGTCCACTTCTGAAGAAGAAGAAGAAGAAGAAGAAGAAGGAGACGATTTTAATATGCGCATATGGAAAGAGATGCAAGCCAGATAGTAAATAACAGGACATATGCACCGTTCTCTATGAAGAAGAAAGAAGAATTGTTTGAGAAAAACGATAGGCATCTCAGCAACGCAATCGAGTCACTGTTTGCGATAAAGCTGCTGAGAAAGCTTTGTGTTCATCACGGGACCAGATATAAAATGAAAAGGACTAGCTTGTAACGGCTTTGGTTCAGAAGACGAATAAGAACAGTAACTATGTGTAGTGCTAAATAAGGCGATGAACATAATGCGACTTAACTGGGACTGAGTGAACAGAGGATCAATTACAACAAGTGGATGACAATCGATGATATGATGTTCATCGTCATAGGCTCAATTGTAAATCGGAAAACATGTTAAGGATAGGGTATTTTTGCTTTGTACACGAATCTACGATTACAATGAAACTGAATCACATAGAAGAAGACTGACAGATTGCTAAAATAAACAGGCAATTTTTTGGTACGCATAGGGCACTTCTGGGATAAAGTAATGAAATCCTTTTACAATTTTGCACTAATGCCATTAATATCTTCAGTTGATTTTATCAACGAACATACAGCCAAGGTGACTTTGAACGTTACCTGAAACAACGACAGAAATCAAATTAATTTGAAAACTTCAACATTATGAAGTACTTTTTAAATGACTGAAGCTCTTTGAAACTTATGCGAATGCTTGTATTCGGTTGCTCACTGTTAAGAAGGTCTTCTAATAATCCATACTTGAAGCACATGAGTTAACAATATTTCACTTGATATCATGAAAACTAGTGCAATTCTCCGCCTTTCTCTACAATGATTACTAGATGGAAGATGGCACTGTGATGTAGAACGGGACTACATCTCAAATAAAGGTCTTCAAAGCTGAAAACTAGTCAGATATTTCTACTCAAAACCCCATGTAAGAGCTGATCAATGCTAGGAATTATCGCTGTCAATTCATGAAGCGACCTATTAGCAAATCAGATCTTTCTCCGATTCATTTGTGCTAACGAACGATTTAACTAGGCTACCTCCAGACTACAAAGAAAGCGTAAATAACCTCAACAGAAAGAGGCAAGTCTCCCTATAACGCAATGGGCGATCAAGTTTAGGATATCGGATGTTGTAACATCTGATGAAGTGCGATGATATCTCTGATTGTACAAGAAGGGACTGGAGCTAGATCAAAAACATCGGAACAACACGTTCATTTTAGGCCACGAAGATCCTTTTTTGCTTTGCTGTGACAACATAAGAACAGCTTCCTCAAACTTCATTCAATGCGCTCCTCTTGAGACGCCAGGTTCACTGAATTCCACGTAATCACTATATAACAGAAAAGAAAACCAAAAAGACTGAGAACCACATTTAAACGATGAGATCCTTGTCATTCGTGAAACGTAGCAGATGCTTCCAAGAACCGTAAGTCATGGAATTTCAGTGCCGTAAACCCTGTCGTACAGTTATTTAGCAGCTATGATGTTCTACAATACGAGAACCCATGACTATGCTTAGTCATTCTACGTCTTCAATCCCTATTAGTGACAAAAAAGTCCATATCACCGACACCCAGTCACTAACCTATATAACTGATAACAGCTGTATGTATGCATCCCCTCAGTACTTCAATTAAGCAGCTCACAGTGAACGACCATCTATTAATTTGTGGCAGGAAACCTCAGCATAGGAAAAGACAGGTCAGCGAAAGCGAATATAAGATTGGTAAACACGAACCAGAGACAGAAATGAAGATGGAGACTTTCTTGATAGGATTCTGAAAATCACCACTGTGCATGAGAACAGCAGTGCAACAACTTATAAGGAGCTCAACCATATGTTCAAGAATAAAAGGCGATACCTCCTTGAAACCTCCGTAGTATCAGCCTTCTGCGTTGCATCGAGTCATCGTCTGTTCCGTGTAAAGATTCAATTCAACATCAGGTCGGAAAAGAATTGCTATAGTCTAAAAAGTGAGAAAAGATTCGTGTATGACGAGGGTATTCTGCCATTCTGGACGCAACTCTTCTTCTGTGGAAGGTTAGACGACTGATGACTATAAGCTGCTTTTCGAAGGATTTAAAAGCTACGCCAAATAATTCTTAGCTCATCAAACAAGAATTTCTGGTCGACCACCATCAGAATTTTTTGACAACAGAAGTAAACTGATCCTACTAGAATGCATCCGATACGACTGCTAATAAATGCTTGCTATTAAAAAAATCTCTACAGAAGGACTTATACAGGCACTCGCACAAAACAAAATGTTGGAGGCTGTTAAGAAAGAAGGAATCCAAAGGAACGTCGCCACGACCTTTGCGAATATCAGGTCCAAGATGAAAGCCATTAAGTTCAAGCAACTCTCGTAAATCATATAACACACATTTATAACGAAAAAATTCTTGATTTGTGGAAGATGTCGAAAATAGCTTAGTGTTTAAGAAGGGCGGCTGAAGGGTCAACTCCTCTGTTCACAAAAATGGGTATGAAACAAGACACCATTACGCCAAACCTCCGCTAACATCGTCACTCTTCTCCAAGTTCTATACTAAGCAAAGACGGTAAACAGAAAGTTCAACGAAGTGGTAAAGAAAAATAGAGGACTTTGCAAAAAACGGAAGCAAACACATTTCATAAACGTACACGAAAGAAATCAAAGCTTCCAAAGCATCACATGCGTGCTTAAGGCACCACTTAGGTGCTTAGTACCATTTAGGGCGTTCCGTTAACATAGCAAACAATATGAATGAGAAATTATGCACCAAGAGGACATCAGCATAGGCCACGTTACAGTTTTTCGAATAACCAATTGATGAACGCAAAACTCCGGGTCTAATTCTGACTCAGTGACTATGTCGTCTTTTGAAAACGGATACGTAGCTGAGACAATGGTTAGTGCCATATTCATTTGAGCTGAGACAAAGGTTAGTACCATATTCATATCAAAAATCAGGCACTATGCGTGGAGTACTTGAAAGATGGTTTCTGAATCATAGCAGGTAAACAGAATATTAAACCTGAATGTGCTGCCCAAAATTTCGAAAATTACCATCTGCTTGATACTGCGAAAATAAACATCGAAAGCGAAGCATAAATAGATATGTTATGTGATGAGAACAGCTGACGATAGCTAGATGAGGAAAAAGTTGAAGCATACGCCGGTAACATGCAAGCTACGACCACATACAAGATTACAGGACATGTTGGTGGCGCACACTGAACAGCAACGGCGACCACAAGGAAGGAGAAGAATGGAAGATGTGGTGGGGACAGTACCACTCGTAAAGACAGATCATCCCAATAACTGATAAACAATCCCATTAGTAAGTAGTTACGCCTGAGGCTGGTCAAAACGGTACAAATGAATCAAACATAAACCGTCAAGATGCACTCACTTCATCAGTTGTTCGTTCACTGCGACACACCGGCCATTCCAACTTGTAAAGATCGGCCAGCAATTTGGGTTCCATTCAGTGCCGCAATTGCATTGCAAGCGTCCGCGTAGTTCATCATTGTTATAAAAGCATAGCCTTTACATTTCCCCGTTGCAAAGTCACGAACCACCTGGAAGAAAAATATGGATAGTTGCAGGAGAAAGACGTTGTACTGAACCCAGTAACAACATCCTCTCAGCAGATGGGATACATAAAATTCCGATTGCAACTGAAAACGGAGTGAAATCATCGCAAAATGGTTCTTGACGAACTGGAATTGTGACCACAAAGAAATTCACATGTAGGACTACGCTTCAGCAGTAACGAGTAGAACGATAAATGATAATGAACTGCATAAGTGCAACTCTATTCCTAACATTTCGCAGTCTGGTGCAGTTACAATAACCATCTCTGCTTAAATCATTTTGTTACAGCAAAATCTTCTAAGAAATTGTCAGTTCTTTTTTTAAGAGAAGAAAGATTTTTCTTCTTCAACAAAACTAGTAAACTGTTCACATAAAATATTCTCCATTGTGCGGAGAATACTTCCCATATATTGCTAGTATCCTACAAGTCTTATCTTAATTATATACAGCTGTCCACTTTTCCAACGTATCATTGTTTTGCTTGTGCTACTTGTATTGTAGAGGGCCATGGTTGGCATTGATATACGTTATGGTGCATACTGCTCTTGATCTTCATATCTTCACACACCCCAACTTTCCACTTTGTATACATCATTCCAACCTAGTCATAATTTTGAAAATCCGGTAAGATAGGCGCCTTCTTAAACAGTATATAAGGAATGCTATCGCATTTCTTCTCGGCCAAGCACTTGCAAGCGGTCCTAAACCCTGCACGGCTCACCAGAGGGAGCAAATAATCGCGTGAAACATACGGAGTTGGATATGTTTAAAACCCATGAGGCAATACATGGAAATTCTTAAAAAATATTAACAAAGCACAGAACTACGTATTTCTTCATCTGTTAAAGAGTGGTCCTGCTCCACGAATTCTTTAATCCAGTTTTATTTATCATACCTTCCGATAGGATAGATAGACAGAGCTCTCCACGTTGACTAATCCCTGAGGAATGCGCCATGCATTCGACTTCATTAATCATCGTCGCAGGTGATTAAATATCTGGCCTTTACAGTGACTCTTGGTGACCCACCGATGTATCGAGCCAGTGCTGCTACCGTCCCAGACAAGTCCGCTACCAGCAGGGCCTCTCCGACCACTGCGCCACACGCCCCTACATTTCCATTTTTTTCCGATACAATTCTGATTCCTGTAGACGGTAACACAAAAGATTCTATCGGTTTATTTCCGATCAGCACTAAATCAAGATAAAAATCTAACTTGACTGCAGCCTATGTCTTTAAGGTCTCTGCAATTCGATTTTTGAGAAGTAATTGATTTTCACACCATTGCCAATCGCTACGGTTGTTAGAAGTCACGGTTACGTCAGTAAGCAATAGGGGACATGAGGAAGAATCCAAGAACATCAAAACATACTTTTCACCTCATAGAAAACCTTATCAAAGGAAGAGAGGGAATCCTAACAAACGCCGAAATATACTTCTCACATCATAGAAAACCCTAGTAAGAGATGTCAGCAATGTGATTAGATGGTGGAGGACCTTTTTCTCATCACATATAAAGTTGGATATGTTCCAAATGCGTGAAAAATGCATAGAAGGACGTGGAGGATAAGAACAGTAAGAACGACAGAAACGAGTGAAAAAATCGAATTACAGAGCGAAATTACATCAGAAGAAGCGCGACTATCCATTAGTCAGAGCATACTGAATGAATAACATATAACTCACGTCTTGCAGAAAACGGTGCCGTTTCATCCCTCACCTATTCATGGAGAAGCACTGGAAGCAGCGGTTCAGTGTTAATCCCTACTAGGTTTAGGTTTTCTCCGGATATAATGGTTTAGTAATTAGTCTACTGTTTACATATGACTACGTTGCTAAGATCTAATTACCGAAGACTGCGGTTTCGCACTGCTACAACACAACGACAAGACCCGCATGGCAAATTCCAACATGCATCACATTCCAACAAGTACTTTAATTTACTGCTCTTTTTACGAAATGGCTTCAAAACCACCGACTTCTAGGTCCGATGTTTCCAGAGTTACCACTCGTGATCACATTCGTAACCGTGCTTTTTTCTCGATAACTGCCTATATCGTCGATGACTACAGTATTCGAGGTCTTGAGAACTCAAGTGTGGCAACGAACTACTCTAATGCTTCATTCGTGACATCTTTCACTTTCTGCTAGGCTAAATTCAGCTCAATGAATAGCTTGGGAAAAAAAGCGATATGAAAACGACTGATGACCTCTAGAAAATAAGAATTTCACATTGTTAGAATAAAAAAATTTATGCCTTCTCTCCAAAGACCTGCAGACTTTGGTGGCCTTTACCATAATATAACTCCAATAAGAACTAAGGCATATTGTTTCGAAGTTGGAAAACATTATTTTTGGCCATGAATGCATTGAAATCAAGGCATGTGGTCGCGACTGTATTGCTATGTGCTTGAATGCTACCAAACATTCGTTTCAGAGTAAAAAGAATTATCTCAGTTACACGCTTCCTCACCCGAACTTTACGAAGTTAGGCTTTATCCAGTTTTACGAAGTTAGGTTGCATCGGCATACGTATAGAGTCAAAATGAATCAAATATGTTAAACGATAGCTAAAACTTGTTTGCTTTCCTTTAATGACTAAGTTCTCATCATGTAATCAGTTTTTATTCACTGCCTATTCATTTTCAGGGTAGGGTATGAAGTGAAATACAATCACTTGGCGGACAGAAAGATGAAACGAAGGATCCGCATGATGTGGTGGTGAACACGTTAGGCCCAAGGAAAGGTAACAGCGGGATTCGATCCCCACCACAGAAACCTCCGGTCCGAAATATTGCAAATATCTCCGCTTAATTGTGGCCATATCCGCATGGTGCGGTGGTGAACACGTTAGCCCCCGGAAAGGGTAATAACGAGGTTCGATCCTATCCGGAGACACTTGTGGTCCGGAGTTTTGCAAATATCTCAACATCACTGTGGCTGAATTCTCGTCGACGTCGACGTTTCAAGTTCGACAAGACAATATGTTCTTGTCTAAGCTAATCACCGGTGTCCTCTAGGGCATTACACACAAACTGAAATGCGACAGCACGAGAGTCAAAGTTGACAGCTGAAAGCTACAGTATCACCTATTGGCAACATAAAGCATTAATGGCACAAAAGCTCGCCTACTACGAAAGTGCTTGTGGAATTTTGGCTGTCGGGTTAATCACATGGAAACGATATTCGTGAGAAATCATTCTAGAACTGTGTAAAAGGAAGCAATAAGTTTACGGGGAAAGGTTAAGGATTGAACGAGCATCGAGAATGCACTAAAGATAGAAAAAAGGAAGGTGAAGATAAAAACAGGCTCTTTGATCACATTTTCGGACCCATGATTTTTTCTACCTCAAAGTAACCCTCGAAAACCTGGATGCTACTTAAGCAAGACGTAACACTGGTCAGTCCTACCTAGTGATCAATCGAGAACCTCATATTAGGACTATCCTACATCAAATGCACGGGAGAGAAAATATGATGTCTGCACTTAAATGGACAACCTCCAAGATATCACAATTCAGGTGTTTTGGACACATGGTGCATCTTAGTGATAACCGCCTGTCAGGAGTAGCTCGATGGAATTATGACAGTATCCATCCTGTAGAGTGGTAAGCGTTCATTGTTTCCGGTATGTGGACCACAAAGCGAAAGGCTTAGTGAGGTTGTGAAAGAGAACTGCACCTTAGACGTTATGGTAAGCGCAACCCGAAAAGCTGAAAATTGATGGTGCCACCTATCGACAAGCGAATTAGCACATCATAATGATGAAATGTCCAAACAATTCAATGTTCAAACCGAAAACCATAACCTTAAAGAAGCTGAAACTGAAGGGCAGTTCAAACCAACGAGTGAAAAACTAACCTTCACACTCAAGACGGCTCCAAACGGTCCAAATAATTGCCAAAGAAGACTATCCTCAGTATCCTGACCTAAGTTGTAGGCGAAAAGACAAAAACCAGCTGGCTCGGCAGGAGCAGGTACAGGTGACGCTAAGGTAGCCAACTGCGTCGCCGCAGGTGCTGTTGCAGCCATGCCTAAATCCATACTTACTAAAGTTAGCGAAGGTAAAACTAAAGTATTCCGCACTATCCGCGAGAAGTCTTCACATTGATTACGTCTCTCAGTAGGAACCAATCTTGCCCACTACTAAGAGAACTACTTTAACCAGAACAGCTTTAAAAAACTACGACATTAAACCAGGTGTAAACAATTATTGTCAAGCTTTGCCTGTTTTCCTGGTGTTAATTAAGTTTCATAAACTGCCAATGATAGACATAGGTCAGTGGAGTTATGTGTAGGCAAAAAAAACTCGATAATAGCAGTCAGTGTTTTCAACAGATCTGTTCGCCGAAACAAATGACGTATTGGAATAACCGAAACATAACTAAACACGTCCAGAAGTAAGACTACAGATAGAACCGTAATATTAAATGTGCAGATCACTTTAAAATCCTCGTGCGTTGTGTACTTTTACGGTATGAACCGAAAACACGAAATAAAGAAGATTACAACCAGGCTTCTAAAATTACTTGGATCTTATGACACACAACCACACTATTTATTTAAAGTTGCTAATCCAAAATTCACATTAAAAGTATTAACCACAGAAAACAAACACTTAAAGTCACTTACTCTCAAGAATACAGGCAAAGTATATAACTCGCTAGTTAGGACCTAATGGATTTTATGACAAATAATACCAATTGGTTTAGTTTTCCCATGTTAAGTAAGGCATAGTCGTACAAATAGTGTGAAGTCACGTTACAACCACATTTATTACCCTCAAACATTAATAACCCAAATCATCAGTCTGCCTTCCACAGCAGTAAATTACTCCGCCGGAGGACCGGAACAGACATGAACTTGCTGAATGGTCCCTAATTGGCTTCGTTATGCGAGTCAAGACAAACATTCTGGTAGCGCTCAGGTTTTCGTTGGATGTGGACCATCGATCGCCCCTCTGTTCACTCTTTGCAATTAAGCCCATTATTATGACTCGTACACGACAAAACGAGCTCGTAAATACGAAGTGCCCACTTCGACTGAGGTTGTTCTTTTCAGCTATGAGGAAGACGAAGACATCGAAAACGAATTAGCCAAATAAAGTTTACTTTATTAACACTGTGATAGCTTGTCAATCAAAGAATGCACACCTTGTTTTAAAGTAGATGCCAAAGCACTTTATGGAATAATCACGATTTACCGTCATATCTGACCGGAACGTACCTTGAACTAACTACGTTGACATGAATATAATATGGTTACCACATTACCATAGAGCATGTCCCGCTTTACGAAATTAGATTTAGAACCAGAGGTGTCTTAGGTATTTAAACGAATATCAGTGGACACCTTGAATTTTTGCTGAAGTTAGAAGTGGAAACATAACGTGAAACCTAAAGGTCGCCGGTCTGAATATGCACTTTTCCAGCATGCATTAGTACTATGAGAGAAAACGACAAGAAAAAACGTACAAGAAGAACACCTTTGCTATGCTGACGAACCACATCACTTAAATGAAATTCGGGCCAATTTTTAACCCATAATGACAGTTCCTATGAGTTTTTATGAGTACTGTGGCAGCAAAAAAGTTGAGCACAGATTTTTGACGACTGGACCACAAAATAGCTGAAATATCGACGTACTCGTTAAAAAGAGCCTATTTAGCGAAAGATGAGCGAACGTTTATATCAACAAGCTTACTCACTGTTTCACCCCTACAATTTCCACAAAGTATTAGCATGCAACCATATATGGAAAACTAGTAAAAAATAGGTAAAACAAATTACCAGCTAGAGCATTCATTTGGCTCATCTGAAGCACAGCCGCGAGGTAATCGGCTGCCTGTGCGGTTAGAGTTGGCGCAGCAGTGCTTGCAGCTACAGTCGGGCCTAGAGGAGAGTACCTATAACCGCAAAAGACTATTATTATTACTGGCTGTACTTTAATGGTGTTTAAGAAATTAGAAACAACATAATTGAGAAATAAAATTGTAGAGAGCAGATAAACAACCGATATTTGGTTGCTAGAGGAGTGTGATGTATTGGACCAATGGTAGAACGAAGAGGTGCACTAGCTCCAAGAAGAGTAAGAGGCAGTAGATTAGTAGCAGCTACTTGTTGAGCCGCTTCAAGCTAAACAAAACCCTATAGTAGCAAGCCTACGACGGAATGCTAGTTGATGATTGAACAATGGCTAACAAGTAGAAATCAGGGATTCAATAGTTCAAAACTAAAAGTTTAATAGAAGAACTAAATCTATTATTTGGAACTCTTCATAGGCATAAAAAAGCACCTCTTGAAGAACACTTTTTACACTGTTTGTAGCGGGATTGTTAGCAAATTTCACGGTAATTTGATCCGTACAGCCGGCAGGTACAGTACCATTTAGTGTTTGTATTGCCAGTTCGGCCTCTTCCTTCTTGTCAAAGCGAACGAACCCCACACCTTTAGATAAGCCTGAAAAATCTTGTTACCTTGTTATCATAGCAGACATTCCGTTCCGATACAAGGTTTTTATACTGGTTGGATCTGATTCTGATTGTAATATGAACAACAGCAATCACTTACACTACTACCTTAGCGCACATTAACTGCTTCTTAGTAGTAAATCTATAACAATGAATACCAATTCTACAAGAAAGATGTTGTGTAGTTTCTATTAATACAAAGCAGAAGAAACATGGTGCCACCACAATATCGGCACCTTATCCTCAAAAAGGAACTTCATAGGTAGAAGAAAAACCAAGAAATAAAACTAATTGGCTCTAAGCTCAGTGTAACATCATTCTCCATCAAAATAAGTTCATTACGGAACGGATTATTTCGCACAAGCGCAATTCTATGTGTAAATATTTTTGAAAAGTAAGACGCGAAATCGACTCCTTTAGTTACTTGTTTCCACAGAAAATAATCACCATAACTTAGCATTTCAAGGTGACTTCTATATATTCACCAAAGTACACAAAAACGCCCGGTGGAAAGGTAAACAACTAAGTACAACACATAGCCGAAAATAAAGCACTAGTACCACCATTTGCAAGCCTTTCGTTTTTTACAGCCGTACTAATCTTGACGAAAGTCATATTTATCAAGCCTCATCAAAATCAACACACCTGTGATGTTATCAGAAAGAATACGAGAAGTGATAATTTGTCCGAAAGGTCGAAAAATTACTTCCAACTCATTTAATGTCATTGACTTCGGTATACCGGAGACGTAAAGATTCGAGCCTTTGATGTTCTCATTACTTGGCCGAGCATAAGAAACCTAGAAGATATGAAGTCCCATGTTTAGTTGTCCAAGTTTTAAAACATGTAATCGAAAATAAAAACTTTTTGAGAGATAGCTGATGAGACTGCAACATACACAAGTTTTAGCAACTGTCAAATCAATATAGTACCGACAGAATTTTCATAGTACTGTAACCTCGTAGCCTGAACTACTTCTGCGCATAAACACATCAGAAAGCAAAACCTATAGCTACGTTTTATATGAAAACCTATAGTAAACAACTCCCTCATATAAAACTTGACAGGAATACTCAAGGGCGAAGAAACATCTGAGGATATCAGACTTCATCTACTCTACCTTCTCGACTTACGGCTTACACCTAGAATCCCCGTCATACAGTTTCCATCCAACTCAAAAAAATTTTGAATATCCCTAAATCACGTTATGGCTACGATCCATTCGTTCCATCTCAAAACGGATAGTCACTATACTGTCGCTACAGCGCTACACAGTCCGAAACAGTGTGCACAACTGTCGCTTATTATACCCTCCCCCCAAACAATAAATATCATCCCGACACTATCTACAGCCCACAAATCTGTCTGTTCATACTGGCAATTGGATATGAGTACTAACGTCACAGCTGCACTCAATAATATGCAAATGGAGCACGGCTAGCAATGCTTTTAAATGTCGCCCGCCGTGGATGGCGGGCGACATTTAAAAGCAATGCACATAGACTAACCCCATAGCACAGGGATTAGTGGGTACGATTCGGAATAAAACCCGAAGACTCTACTTTTCTTTTTACATGAATACGTTATTTTGACTCATATTTGCCTCGCTGTTGATGACAAAGCTCTTCGTTAAAGAAGAAATCTGGTAGTTACTCAACTATCGATCCTAAACACACGTATATTACAACTCATTCTAATCTACACGACATATATAAATAGAGAATGAACTGAGTGTCTAAAAGAAATACGAAAACATAAATTTTTGGATGATGAGTCTTTTCATAAAAAAAATCATGTTCCCGATTAGACTGAGGTAAGACGACTATTACGCGACAGCGTAAAAAGAAAAATAGAAAGTGCGTACTGAAAATGGGTCGGCTAAATAGCACTGATAGGACATCCTAAACTAAAAACTTGAAACTAAAACACTACGGTGTTTAGGTCTGTCCACCTCTCCGCTACCTGTTTTATTGAGGGAGGATAGACAGAAAGGAACAAATAACGAACAATTCACAACACATTGTTATCGATTCAAAGCTTTAGATATAACGAATGTGGAGAACACCAGAGTGGAATGCACAGGCGCCAGTAGCGTTACACAGCTGAATGCATGCAAATAAATTCGTAGAACGAAAGAGGAGGAGGATAATGAGGAGGAAAAAGAGGAGGATGATGATGATAATGATGATGTGGTAAACGGCAACAACCTTGATGGTCTTGTTTTGTAGTCGTAGGCCGTTGAACGATGAAACTGCCTTGAGAGCATCGTCTTCGCGTGAATAGTTAACAAAACCATAACCAAGACTCTGGCCTGCAACCAGAAAAAACACAATGAACGCAGTAGACCACTAAAACCACACCAATGCCCACACCGCTCACGAACCGAACTGAAAACTTAAAACAGAAAGCGAGAATGAATCCGATTCTTTGCAAATGGAAATAGTTCTGCTCCATAGTTGTTGTTGGGTTGTTTAGGTTGGGTTGATGTGTTTCGCTTCGTAAGCGGAGTTGAAACTTCTAGGCGTTAGTGCAACAGAAACACTCAAAGGTAGAAGTAGGAACTCATTCGAAATACGGTAAAATCATAAGAACATTAACACATCTAGCGAAACGCATAGCGAGAAAAGAAAGAAAGTATGAATATTAATTGATTCGGAACTCATCGGGACTTTGCGGAGTATTGCAAAATCGACTAGAGAAGTCAATAAATAACGATTTAATCAATGCAGACTAGGAACTTAATGAGTTAATTACTTGGATATTTGGACGGCCCGTCTTCAGCGGTTGTGGAGAACCCAGCATAATTTCTATTTTTTCGGAGAATTTCTGGTCTAGCCATTGTGGTTCCATGGAGTCCCGAGGTCAGCCTAACCAAAGTCTGCCCTTCGTCACCACCACCATAAGCAGTCGTCGGCCTTGTGGATCAGAGAGAGATTTGCCACCACGTGACTAGTTTCACACCAGGACATTCGTGGATCCTCGTCTTGGTTTACTCTTAGCTGGGTTTCCTGAGGGAAACGCCGGACTACTTCTCAGCTTGGGAGACCATGCCAGGATGACGAATCTCCCCGCTGTAAATCGCAGTCCAACACCCAGGAACACCTCGCAGCCACGACGACCTGGTAAACCGTTGGGAGAGTGGGTGCCGGTGAGTTAATTAACGGTTAAAAAGGTGGAAGCAACGTGGTAAAATAATTAAGATAACAAAAAACTTACAATATAGCAGAAACACATGCTTAAAGAGAAAAAACTTAAAACAACATCTCCTTACATACTGTTTAAAAATTGTTGGCACAAGTAGCCACTCTGATGGAGAACAATCGATTGAAAAACATAAACTGAAGTAGATAGACTCTTATTTAGTTAAAAATAGGGACAACTTACGATAAAGCTATCATAAGAAAGTCAATTACTTTAACCTAAAAACAGATAACTACAAGACACAATCGAAAAACTTCTGTGCGATGGGTAGAGGAACAAATTTCCGGTAAGGGATCGATATATCCAAGAATCAAGAGGGTTTGTTACAGTTATGAAAGATTTTCCAGTTTTCTGGCATTCATGGACAAATTTTTATGAGGACGAATTTCATGATGTTCGATTTCTGCTCGGCTATGAAAGAACACTAGGTTGTTCAGTACTGCTCGATTTCGCAACATAAAGGTATCAGGCACTCGCTTTTTTCTTTGTTAACATGGTCATCCATGAACTTCTATATTTCACCTTAAAGTCCACGACATCATATTCTATTCTGGACTTGTTTACTAGACTTCTTCCAGATCAAATAAATTCATTTTTATAATCTTTTAAGCTGCAGTGGGTAGTACTCGAAATCTTAACACTGCGTATAGTAAGAGTTTCACCATTGAAGCAAACCGTTCACAATTGAATCAAGCACTTTTCACTCCTCACAGAAAGGTGAAACGAAGGAGCTGCATGACTTGGTGGTGAACACGTCAACGCCCGGAAAGGGTACTAGCGAGTTCGATCCCCACCGTAGATACCTGCAGTCCGGAGTTTTGCAAATTTCTCCGCATCAGTAAAAAGCGTCTCAGCGAGAAGCTTGAAACTGTGATTGAAAGCATCACGATCAGTGGTCGTCAAAGCTCGAAGAATGATCCGGGACAAAGAAACGAACAATTCCTGAGCATTGAAATCATGGACAGGACGCTAAAAGTAAAAAAAAAGTAAAATGAAAAGTCGCTAATAGATGCCTGAAACTTTCATGCTGCAAAATCGAATGTTTCACACTAAACCAATCAATACTTAAGAAAAACATGAGAAAATGTGTCAGAACTATGACGATAGCGGTTCAAATCTTGAGGAGATTAAGTCTGATGTAAATAAACCATGAAAGAAGAGAACAAATCAATGAGAACAGATTAAAAGATGAACACAAAACAAACTCCACAGACCTGTCATTTTGTCTCGGACGAGTTTACAGGATTCGATCTCGCCAACACTTGCAAAAAGCGATCTTACTTCCTCCTGTGTCATACCTTGAGGCAAATAGTTAATGATCAAATTCGTCTTCGATTCACCGATTTCCACGTTTGGAGCTGTACAGTAACGTTGTGACGGTATATAGCTCTGTAATTAATGAATATTTACAAACTGCTATAAAAAAACTTTTCTGTTACGGTGTAAATTAAAAGCACTAGAATAAGTTTACTAGTCAATAATTTCTTAAGCATACCTTAGAAACAGTTACCCAACGAAGTAAAGTTCTTCAGGATTCCGCGACCTATCGAGGTTTTTTGACCTAATGAAGGCTAATAAAGAAAAAAAGCGCAACGTCATGCCGGGTCTTGATCCTCCTAGACCTCAATTCCACTTTTTCTAGTGAGTTAAACTCCTACCGTTAACGAGTTAAAGTTACTCTATTCTCCTTGCACTCTATGTTCTTAAAGCAGAATTCTTGTAACTTGGACAGAAAACCATTAAACTTCTTTTTCCTTATGTTTATGTGAACAAATTTCCGATATGACTTCAGATTTTGGCCAAATAACCGATCGGTCTGGCCAAGCCTTCTGCCACTGACAACGGCTTTCTGTGCTGGCAGTCAGCACACTGGATTCGGCGACTTTGCAACAAAATACCAACTGACTTATATAACAACTACTTACCTTAGCCGGTGTAGAGTTAGTAGTGGTTAGTGAATGATTTAGAACTTTGGCATCCATGCCGCAGTTGTGGATCAGAGAGACGAAGCCGGATCGAGGAACGAATTGGAAGTGGATGATGAGAGAACGTTCTGAGAGTACAGAGAGTGTAAGCGATTGAAAGCCACACGAGAAGAAACAATGAGAAACGGCAACAAGACGTAGACATCACGACAAGAACCAGATCAAAGTGCACGCATTGCCGAGAGGGCGCAGTTTTATGGGCGGAGCCTGCAGGCATGGATATCGCCGTGGATAACGACGGCCGCCGGCGTATGGCAGGCGGCAGGTTGTCGGAAAGAATAATATGGCAGGGCGGACAGATGGGAGGCATGACGGATGAAGGTGAATGTGAACCCGAGCGCCAGGGTAGCGGAACTCCCCTAGTCAAGTAGGAGTGGATTATCCACGTCGCGCTACCCGTGGGAAATTGCCCCATGTCTTCTAAGCCATCGCTATGAGGAAATATGTGAAGAATACAACCACAGTGATGGTGAGATGTTTGCGTAACTTGGACCCCAGGCCAGAGAGAACCACGATTACCCTTTCAGGGGGCTCACGTCTTACGCACCACACCACTGAAGTCCTTGCTTTCGTTGTGTTCCCTAGATCACTTTCGTTGACGGGTGATTCTTGACGGCGCCGTTAGGTAGAGAACTAGCTGTAAAGAGCGAAGCAAGGCACCTCACTGGTGCAAAGGGTAATACGTGAGCACCCGGAAAGGGTAATCGCGGGTTTGAATCTGGCCTGGAGTCTGGGTTGTGCAAATATGTCGGCATTATAGTGACCATGAAGAATATTCACGTAAACAGATTTTCTACTAGTCATCATGAGTTCGTAGTAAGTGACGAACAATGAATTTTCAGTTACAGCACGGTTTTCACCGAGTCGCACGACAGGCGACACACTCAATTACGGTGCGAACCAACCAGCCAGTCAGTCAGACTGTCCGTCTGTCTGTCACCCAAATACGAGGTCGATTGGACTGCATTTCTCGGCAATTGCCTCTCAATTAGGCTGACAGAAAATAACGACGGATCTGACACTCTATCTGTAAATGGATGTTACGCACAAATCGTTAATTTCCTAAGAGGAGAGCTGGTTCTAGAGAATCACTAAGGTAACGAAGACGAAAGTCAGAGTAGAAGCACTTCAACAGGAAAACCTGCTAATTCAAACCAGAATTACGAGCAAGAGAACCGGGAAATAAAACCAGGAGAGGGATAAAGTTAATTATGCACATAGTTCACGTGTGCATAATACACGTGCTTTACTTTAGAAGAACACTGTTACAAACTAACGGTTCAACAAACTAATCTCAGTTCTACTAGTAGCTCAATTAGCAGAATCAGAGTCAACGTATACCTTCATTCAGAGTGATTCTAAAGACGGATGAAAGTGACAACAATGGAGGAAAGCATACGGATGACAGCAAAAGCGCTTTTTTTTTTACAAAGGTTATGCTTCTCTTCTATGATCCACGCTTTTTGAAATTGTACAGCTGGGCCGTTGAGTGGTATTGTTGGCCGGCAGAGATCCATTTGAAAGAGATGAGACGAAATGGATAGCAGTGAATTCTTTACACATAGATCGATTTCACAAACAGACTGATTTATCACGAAAGATTATTTTTCGTCTCAGATCGTTCTCCTTTACGAAAGATTTCTTCAACAACTTTTATAGTATGTTGTTCTCAACTTTAGTGTCTCACCGATGTCAATAATAATTGGGTGCTTAGAGGTGCTGACGCAGAGAACGAGATCGCCCATTGTGCTTCTCGCTCGTAGGCAGTTGGGATGTAGGCGGCGGGATGGTAATGAGGTAAGTCATTATCGTGATTCTCTGCTAAATGAGCAACCTACCTACCTATCTGAAGGAGAAACCATAGCAGAGGGAAGATTGTAAATAAAAGAATTACGAGTTCGGAAAGCATAATAGAGGCTCTTTTATAGAATACCAGACATTTCTCATGGATGAATATCGGATTAGCAACGATGATATCTTCCCTGCGCTACGCATAACAAGCATTCGTAGATTCGAATGAGCAGTTGAAAACAACGGTTGCTTTACTCATAAGACTAAGATGGCAAATTGCCTATCGTATAAAAGATTTCAATCCTGAGCAAGCACCCAGGATGGTTAGGGTGTTGGCTACGAATAAGAGGCACTAAGTAATCGCTGTCACTGTATGTATTCAAAAATACGCTATTAAATGATGCGTTTAGACTAGGGTTTGCTAAGGTATATGCGTTACTGAGAGTTATGGGAGTCTTTTTTATATATCAGAGAGTGTCACTAGGTCTCCGGAGAACTCCTATGTTGAGACTTCGGTGGGGATAAATGAAAATTCTATTCCATTCAAGAGCCATTGTTTACGCTGGAACATAATTACTTCAAAAGCTCGAAATATATGATTCAATTACGAATCTCAATAGAGTTATATAAGTATATTCATAGGCTCAACGTAAAGAAACGATTACGACCGTATGTGTAAAAAATGAAGATATGAAAACTCAAATATCCACTGAAGTTCACTTGGACATTAAAATATACAACCCCAATAATAAGTTTTTATAATATGTACTATTGACTTCGCATGACCATCTCCAAATCCACTATGTGGATTCCTTCACTTCATGTATTCGATTCGTTTCCTCGCATTCGTCTTCCACAAAGATCTTCGCACTTTTCGCATGTGGGTTAGGCTACCGCTTGAAAATTGTCGTATTCTTTATCAATGTCTTTGAATGCTGGTCGAGTTGATTCTTACTAGAGTCCTGGGTTTGCCAGTTAGAATGTCCCCACTTAGACTGAGTGGAGTGAACTGATCCCAGACAAGCTTGGTACTAATTTCCCCGAAAGGATGAGAGGCATGGTGAGCCCGGGGTAGTGTCGAATCAGCACCATGGTTCTGATGAACTGCGTCACTACTATCCAGTACTACATAGGGATCGAAGTAGAAATGAGTACTATTCCAAGCCTAGGAAAGCGAATTTTGTTCATACACGAGCCGGTGATCTCAACGAAGTGCGAGGTACGAGCTCATCCATGGTTAGATTCTGGATTATGTTGGTTTAAATAACATTCGTCCACGAGGATGGCTAGATGGATTCCAGAACAAACAATGCTCTCAGTAGCGCCTAAAGAGCCTAGCTAGGCAACACATGAAAGATAAGTTACACAGAGTAGAGTGTCGGCTGAGCAGTACGCGTGCTTTAATTTATATGAGTCTTACTGACGATTAGAATCAAAGTCATAGGTAATATCTCTCGAGAATCGTCTGACTTAATTCAATGCAGCTGCACATATGCATTGATATTCTTGTTCTCCTACAATGTTGCCAAGAACGAGTGATCAGGTTTGCATTTATTAGTTATTCTTTAAGTATCCTTTTTTAGAGTTGATAAAAGGAGTAAAATTTCGACTTTTTAAATTATGTATAGTTAACCAATAACGCGAGAAGCTATGCCTTAAATTTCTCACTAACTAATCCACTATGAGTACTTTTGCACCTAACAAAATTTTCTAATACATGTTTCCAGAACCTCTGAAGGCATAAAAGATCCTGATAGATTCTTTAAGTCAGTAGTAAGCATGCTTATGTAGTTTTATAAAAGCAATCGTAGAGACAGCTACGGCAACATTTTCACAATTATCAATGACATCGTAGTAAAGCAGCATGAAGTAAAGTATAAAGGACTGAGCGTTAATCCCTGAAGTGCATCAGCAATCTGACTCTATTAAATATCCTAGAAGTGATAGAATGCGTATTTGAAATGTCTAACAATTTAGCGAGCTTACCGATCGATGAAGGTAGTGTTTTTATAAGCCCAGACAAGAATAGTGCCAATCTGCAGATTCCTGTAGCGATGGAGGGCTTGGTTTGCCTGAGACGCGGAATCGAACCAATGACAACGTCTGTGCTGCAGGGCACTTCTAATCACTGCGCTATACTCGCCCTACATCTCATAGCACAACATATAAATTAATGTAGTTCCCCAAGTAAATGGAGTTTTATTAAGGAAATAAGAAACGTTGTAGAATAAAACAATTCATCCGATCTTATTGCTTTGCTTTATTAATAACGGTGTTAGTAACAGACTTCAAGAAGTTGCACAATGTTATGACCCCATAAGGTTGCCTCAGTGTAAACGAAAATATATTTAGCTGCATATTGAAAACTAAAAAGGTTATACTGCACACTAAATTCAGCCTAATACACAGTTCTCGATGGGTGGTCGGCAAGCGAGTCGCGGGAGTTGTTGCTGTATTGGAAAAATCCAACTGGCCGGTATAGTGTGGAGATTTGAGAACACCTTAGAATTGTGGTCTCAGGATTCTAGGGATCACAACACTCGACCTTCATTCAACATGTCAATTGGGAAGGATGTGTATAGAATCTCGGACGAAAACCTCCATGAAATCAGATTGGAAGAGATTGAAAGAAATAGGAGAACTGTTGCTAATGTACGACATGTGAGCATGGAATATTCACTTATCTGAATAAATATACTACGGACTAAGGTAAATGATGGAAATAATAAGGAAAGACAATGAGATTGGTGGCTCGAAGAGAATTACTCAAAGTTTGAGTCCTCAAAATAAATTACTGAGTCGTCAACCACATGCGACTATAATCAGCTGTTCTAAACTTCCTCATTGGAAGTCACGAAAAAGCGGCTCTGAAGAAGGCGATACTGCCGAAACGTCAGCTAGCGTTGTATTGTATTGTGTTTTTATGGAAGTAAATGTATGCTGTTTAAAAACTTCGCGATTGCTGAGCAAGAAAACGACACATTCATATTCCAATGCCGAGGTTAAGAGAAAGTCGATCCTGGAAAAATTACTCAGTCATAAATTCTATGATTATGGCTTTCGAAACAAGTAATCGATCGTCAGACAATTTCAAGTTCATGTGGGAATCTAGTTGGGTGTGGTAACAGTGTCACTAGTCCATTGTGAATGAATGACGAGGAAAGCCGAGCGGGGAACAATCGAACGAGCGCTCCACTCTCATAGGC